GAGATTTGCACTGGATTATTCTAAGGAACTCTGCAGAACCAGAAAGTGAGGAGATACATGCGCCGTCAAGAGAAAAGACATGTAAACTCTGCTGATAGAAATAGATAAAACACATGACAAAATCATGGAGGAATCCAGAATTCAAAAAGACTTTACCTCTAAGGCAGGCTAGAACAGCTGGAAATATCTCAGCTTCAACAACCATCTCAGCCAAGTCAACAGAATGTTTGGCAATTTGGCTCAATGCAGAGAAAATGTGACGCTGAAGAAAAGAGATATTTATAACAACCATTAACATCCCATATTTATATTGGAACATCAAAAATTATAACCCACCCATTAATTTTGGCGCGATTTCATTGGTTACTTTATGTCACGTGGTGCCAACTCACAGGACAGTTATCACACAATAACCCCCATCCGCGTCAATATTTGTCCTCCAATTTTTTCCGTGAAAAAGAAACGTAGTCAACACAAGAGTTTCAACATTTCTGTTCTCCTATTTATATGGAAGGAAACCAAACTCTTTTTTTTTTTGGCTCGCATCAATCCTGTGCATTTGCCATCAGATCACCACTGGCTTTTTTACTGTATTTACGTGCAGTTTAATTGCCATGTGAAAATTAAACGGAGGGTATAAAAATAAATAAACCCTGTTTTGGCTTGCTGGTTTATATGTCAGCTGATAATGTCCTTGGCTGAGAGATTGTCCTCAAAATTTCAAATTTGCCCTTGAAGCTTCACTTCTTGGCCAAATATTCATTTTTCGGACAATCTCTCAGCCACGGACATTATCAGCCACCCGAAGGGGTTTATTTACCAAATATCAACTGTTAATAAAAATGCAAGATATAAGGGGATGGAGTTAAAGGACTGGACAGGGGCTAAAATTCACAACAGACGCTAACAGCCAACTGTCATGGAAAAGTTTCAGTCTTAACCCTTACTTAACACCCTGACATCAGTATGCATATTCTCCATACTGTTCTCTATACATTTCATAATTAAGGAGCTAACAAGGAGAACTTGTTTAACAAGGGCTCTTTTAAGTTGGTGATCATTTTACTTATTCTCCTGAGCTTAATGTGTGATTCAGGGGTGATATTGTAAGGAGAAATTAGATGCTAGTGACTCTCATGGGTGTAAGGGATTAACCATCAGCATCAAGTTACAAATTAAAGCTAATGTTACTGCTGCCTTCTTTGAAAATCTTTGACAACTTTGTAAACAGAGTTGTTGCAATTTTGAAACAAGTTCAAAAGATAGCATAGTCTTCTTAGCCATTACAAGACTTACCTTCAGTTTTGAATCATTATTAAGAATCATCTGAGCAAGGTGAGCAATAGCTCCTGCATCTACCACTGTTTGGGCCAACTATGGAAAAAGGATTATGCGTTAAAAGATCAACAACACAACTCCCATTCTTTTAGGGAAAGCCTCAACAATTAAGGTATATAAAAAAAATCCTAGGGCTTTTCAATTGAGTACCAATATTACTTCATTGAGAAAAAAAGAAATCTATGGACTTGCCACCAGCTCACTGCTCACCTCAGGTGAATGCTTACAAATGTCACTCAGTGCTGATGCAGCAATTCTCTTGAGAGGCATTTCTGGTTCTTGAATGCAGAGGACCAGCAGTGGGACAGCTCCTGCATCAACTACTGCCTGGGAGAGCTCTAAAAAATATGTACGAGAGGTAAAGGTTTGTATTAATTCAAGGAAATTGTGATCAGAATTGAAGGGAAGATGGAAACTGATAGTATTTCAGTGCTGGTAATTTACCCGCATTGTGTCTTGCAATATAGCCAAGGGCCCAAGCTGCTGCCTCTTTGACCCCTGGGTCAAACTCCTCCAAGCAGATGACAAGAGCCTCCAGGGCACCACAGTCTACATCAGCCTGTAAAAAGCAGTCAGATCCTTTAGTGAGTTTGGACTCCAAGCTGGGGACTTTCTTTTTCTTTAATGTGCATTTTCTTAAAAATTATATCATAAAATTAATTTCATCTTAATGTACCCAACCTCAACATTATCCTGATGACTATGTGAAACATAACATAACAGTACTGTTTTTGTTCAATCAATGTAATTAAGCCTCACAAGTTAACCAATGGTCCATTTTACAATTGTGTGCTTGGTTGCCAAGCCTTTGAATGGGGTGAGGCTAGGGTTGACCTTGTTATGATACAAACCTTGCTGCCTTTCAAATGTAAATCACTTTGTTATCATGCTAAGTACAAACAGGTCTCTATCACAACAAGGTCACCTTTAACCTCACTCTGAATCATAGGCTTGGCAACTAAGTACACAACTGTAAAATGGCCTATTATGACAAATAGCATAAAATCTTAATACTGCATGATGTACATGTTATATATATACAAACACTTTGTGTGATAGCTTAAAATTTCTTTTAATTAGTTTGTTTCCCTACATACTTGTGCTAGCTGAGGGGAATGTTTTGCCACAGCCCGTAGTACAAATGCAGCAGCTTTCTTGTAAAATCGCTGTGGACAAAAACAAAAGACACTCACAGGTTAATAATTTTTTTTTTTTTTTGATAATAAAAAAACATGCAAACTGTTTCAGGTAAAAACATTGGCCTATGAGACAGTATGTGAAGGTGTCATTCATCGAGTGTATTTGGTCAAGATGGCTATGAATTTATCTAGTTCTTACTTGAGTTAGACTACAACAGAGTAAAGACTTATAAAAGTGCTATAAAAGAATGAAGTATTTTTTTTAAATTTAATTTATTGATTTATTACAGATTCCAACAATTGAGAGGCTCTTCTTCTGTAACAATACTAATCTAATCTAAGTATATATATATATATAATTTATGTAGTAACTAATTGAAAGTATAATAACAATAATAAAATTAATCAATGTAACTTATTGTGAGATATTAAAATATACAATACATTTTTGTGGATTCAAGACTGATATTTAGCAAACAAATGTTTCTTAGCACTATGGCAAAAGACATTATGTTCTAAAATGTTTCTTGTTGCTATCGGGAGTCTATTGAACAACATTGCTGCTGAGTGCTGGAAAGTTCCTGACTCTCTAGGAGTAAAAAGTACGGGCGCTGTTGATGATCTTAGATAATAAGCAGGTACTTCATGGAGCGTCAGTTTCAGATACTCAGGAAAGCTATTATTGCCGTACAATGATTTATGAGTGAGTTTGAGAATATTGAATTTAACTCTTTCTTTAACTGGTAACCAGTTTAACTTAATAATATCCTCGAGACCTGCAAATTTTCTTGTGACAAAGCCAGCACAGGCATTCTGTAGACGTTGGAGATGCTTTTCTTGATAAACAGGCAAGGGATCAGTCAGCTATCCTGACTGATCAAGATTAGTCAATAAACAATTTGTATTGAAGCATCACATATAAACCTACAAAACTTGCCATGGTCTTCTTACTTTTGACTATCAAAAAAAACTGGAAGATGTTTGCTTCACATGCATGTAAACAAAAAAATAAAAGACAAAAATGCCTTTGTGCTTCAGGTAGCCAGCTATTAGTGTACACCATTTCCTTTATCTGCATACTTCTAGAGCCATTGATAAAATAAATGTTAAATTATCATATGCCAGCACTTGTTAATATTACTGCAACAATTAATTACATTTTGCTCTCCCAAAGAATAAACCAACTGCGGTAGAATGTCTCCCTTCACAACAGCCTCAGCAAGGTCTTCATTGTAATTTGCCAGTCTACCGAGAGCTAATGCAGCAGTCTGTTGAATGTTGGGGGCAACATCCAGGAGAAGTGGTCTCAGTAGAGCCATTGCACCTTCACAAATAAACATTTTGTATTGTTAATAAAAATGTGAGAATATGCTGATTGCCTATTTTTTGACATGTTAACATAATTTGATAAATAAAATATAGTCAGCTATGTGGTTGGACGATATCATACAGAGGAAAAAATCATTGAGATTTAGGACAAATCATAAATTCAAATGTTACACAAAGAATTGAACATGATCTTTATTTATTCGAATATTGAGTCCCTTACTGACACAGTCTGACCGATGATGCGAAAATATAACTCGTTATCCATTTTAATGCATTGCACTACATATGTGTTCTACTTCCAGTAGACATATGGAAACACTGGTCTGTGTTTCCAGTTAACACACATTCTAAACTTGTATCATCTGTTTGAGTAGCTAGCTATATAATTTTTCAACTTCATGTTCGTGTCACAGATTAGTTATACAACAGTGCTGGTGAATTTATTGTGATTTCTGCTCCGAAAGCTGAGCTATACATACGATTCGGGTCATCCATGATTTAGAAGAATTACAACAAACTTACTTGTCGATTATTTCGTCGGGAAACAGTTTTGGAAGTTAAGATGGGAGAACCATCAGAAAATAAAAAAAAAAAAAAGATCTTCATAAACCAGACTACCTGAATTCCTTGGGAGTGCATGCTTAACTTACCAACATTCTGAAGAGTTTCGATGTTCTCCGGCTGATTTGCGAGATCGGCGACTTTCTGAACGAAAGCCGTCCTGTCTTTTTGATACTTCTCAAACACTAAGGTTTAAGAAAAAGCATGCCTCAGTAGATTTGACATTACAACGTAAGAATGTTATCATATACTTTACATTTTACCTTGTTTAACCTGTCTTGAACTCATTTCTCTCTTTAGAGGGATGTTTCTGTCCAAACCAAGCACTACTAAAATCGCATTCGGACGTACTGCACTCTAAAAGCTGTTTTCCACTGCTCCGTTGCTACGTTACAGGATGTTACTTCACGCGTGCGCTAAAGTGTAAGGTCACTGACTGTATTGTCAGGCGCAATTCCTTCTAGCAGACACCCAAGGAGCCGACCATTAAAACTCTTGAGTCGGGGGGGAGGGGGGTGGGTGATTTAGGAAAAAAATTTCCTGCAAGCGCCGGTTGGAAGAAAAAAATTGTATGCAGCCCAAATGTAACAGAATAAAAAGAGAATTTAGAGCGGAGAAAAATATCCTGCACAACAGATTGCTAGAAAAAAATTTCCTTCATGACCAGAAATCACCCACCACCCCCCTTCAAAAGTTGACTGGTCGGCCCTAATCAGAAATTCATTCTTAAATAGCCTCTTAAATATCGGGATATTTCTCATAAAGAAGGAACCTATAATGTAGAGGTGTGCTGTAACTTTTTGCAGTTTTCTTTCCACGGTAGTACGCTTGGGATGGATCCAATTCACAAGAAAGTGTTGGCTATCAAGACAGTTACGATCATGAATAACGTTACCAACCCATCAATGCTTGCCTCACATCTCAGTACACTTTTTTGTAGTTCAGATAAAGAAGAAATCGATGCTATGCAAAGATATCGTGGTGCTACTCGTGCAACACAAAAAATGTTAATTTTGTTGGAAAAGAAAGGCCCTAAAGCTTTTAATATGTTTATAACAGCCCTGAATCATCCGAACATTGTTTTGCATGATATAGCAGAAGAACTCCAAGAAGAAGAGAGAAAACTGCGAGGTTGGCAAGGTCAGGAAAACGGTTTTCGCTTCTTTTATGTCGCTCCAAAATTTAACCAAATTTACAGCTGTATCAGAGTTACATAGATAGGGTACCTTAGAATGATCACACGATACAATTTTAACGAAATAATATTTATTCATTTTTGGACATAAGCACTCTTCTCTATTGTATAGTAACAGATTTATTTCATAACTTTCGGTTACCTTAGAATGGTCACACGATACAACTTTAACGAAGTAATATTTATTAATTTTGGACATAAGCACTCTTTTCTACAGTGGTGACAGATTTATTTCACAACTTTCGCCCATGGAAAAGTTTAATCGACTATAAATCAATCATCAGTCACTAACCCGATAAGTGAGTGAGTCAGTGACAAAATGACTTGGTGACTTAAAGAGTCAGTAAGGCAGTGAATGAGTCAGTGGGTTAATAGTGCGTGAGTCAGTCAGTAAGTGACTGAGTAGGTGAATGAGTTAGTCAGTGAGTCAGCCAGTGAGTCAGTCAACCCATTTTATGTCTATTACCTAGTTACCCCCACCGATGCAGCACCACAGTTTCTTTAGAAACTTACCACCTTTATCCATTTTAGGTCAGTCAATAGAAGGTAAACTATCCCCTTTGGAAATCTTAAAATTCTTGACCAAGAATTCTTGCTGACTCTTTAATTTCAGGAGCTAGACTTACAAAAAGCCCTGTTCCCCCATTTCCAATGCCAGAAAGCCCTGTTACCCCATCTACAAGAGGAAACTTTGATGATCAACTTGATGGTCAAAAAGATGATTACCCACTTCCTCTCAGTGCAGCATCCACAATACAATTAACTCATGAAGAAAGTAACAGTAAATTGAACAACTTGAGCCAAGGCCAAGAACAAGCTTCTCCCAGCAAACGCTCCTCCACTGCTGATGCAAAAAATGATGTGCTCAGTTTAGGTAATTATTGATGGGAACATATGATTAATTATCATTTGTTAGGAATTTGTTGACTTTTACATTTTCAAAAAGATGAAAAGACTGTTTACTAGCACACAACACTTCAAAGGGGGATTGCATGGTACTGTGGTGTATAAAGTTGCCAAAGCTGCATAACTTTTTAATGTAACAGGGGGGACAACAGCCGTCTTGGTGTATTTTGAACCTTTTTTATTTTTTTGTTGAAAGCAAAGTGGGATAGAACTTTATGAAATAATTTCTGAAAATGGTTCATCCTAAAAGTCCAACAGGAAAAATAAAATGAATCACAAAATTTTGCAACTGTCACCAGTTTCTTGATATTGATGGGCAGTGGTTCTTATTGAGGAGGACACTTATTATTCCCCTGTAGTGATTCTGCTGTAGTTGAAGCTTAAAAAGCTATGAGTAAAGTGGCAATTGAAACAGAGAGGAGGGGGTGCTTACTGGAGGGGGGGGTGCAGGTTTGACATGACAGCCTATATGGGGTAGGTGGTTTTTGGGAGGGGGCACATATTGGAGCATAGGCACTTCCTCTAGGAGATACAGTCTTTGGATTGGCATGACAATGATTAATTACTTTTCATTAATTTGATTGATATCTTCTTTAAATTGGCACAGATTTGTTCATATAGCTGTTATTTTTCTTTCATCCAGAGACACTCATCAAAGATATCCCCTACAGTCTCTGCTTGAAGATTGAGCAGTTGATGGATCCATCAGATGCCAATCATCATGACTGGCGGGGCGTAGCCAGTGTCATGCATTTGAGTGCTGATGATGTGAGACAATTGGAGAACACTCAAGAAAATGGAAAGATGAAATGACTTATCCAAAAGATGATTTAACTAAAAAAGACCATAAATGATCTCCTTGGTTGGTTAAGGGATCCTATTGTAGCCAGATGGGATGTTATAGATGAAATGAAAAAGTATTCCAATAATATTCCATCTAATTTATTGTCACCTGAGACAGAAACTTCAGAAGACCAACTATTGGGTACGTTTCTTGTTTGCTTTTTAAAATCAACTGATTAAATTATGACACCATTAATTATCAGGCCTTGATTGTAACTATCGTTGAACAG